CTAACACTGGCGGGGGTGTGTTTGTCAAAAAAAAAAAAAAAAAAAAAAAAAAAAAAAACTTGCATCATAGCAGGAGATTGGAATGCAGCTCTGGACCCGACTCACGATAGAATCTCTCGAGCAACCACGGCTCAAGCTTCACAAGAAGCGGTTCCGGTCCTTAAGTTGATGATTGATCACAACCTAGCGGACCTTTTCTGTACGCTACACTCCGACTGGTAAAGAAAAACCACGCTCACCACATGACTTTCTCCCGCATTGACTACTTCCTTGTCTTAGAATCTCTAATTGGAACCATCAAGGAGGCTGACATTCTGGCCCTGGCCGCATACTCCGGATTAGATCACAAACCGGTAGAGATAATTCTCAGTTATGAGCAATACATTACGAGAGGAGCCAACTTCCACAAGTTGAACAACTCTCTCCTTCTCAGTCTGGTCTTCGAGGATAGTGTAAATGAATGTTGGCAAAACTCGAGGAGCACATTCTAAGGAGGACAGGATAAATGGTAATGTTTCCAAAGGAGCTACCTCTCACTGTCTCAAACAGTGGCTCGGCTATCCCGAAAACTGGCCAACGACCGAAGACAGAGAAAACAGGCTCAGGAGATAACACTAAAGATTGTAGAGAGCAACTTGTTAATCGACCCTTCCTCAATCCTATATTCAACAACCTTCGAACGAGCAAGGGATGAACTGGCCGTATGGAGACAATGGGAATTGAAAGGCCTACAACTAAGAGCAAGAATGACGGAATACGAGTTATACGAATCAATGACTAAACATTTTTTCTCAAGAATAAAAACCAAGAGCAGAGCGAGCTCAATTGAAGGGCTAAAGGAATTGTTAGGCGAACAAGCCATAAGGACAGATAGTGAAGGGATGTTGGAAATAGCTAGACGTTTCTATCAAGAACTGTACCAGACGAAAACTGCCTCACCCGCCTCTATAGCCATGAGAGAGGCGAGAACCAAAATGCTACAGTACCTAGACACAACAATCTCAGTGGAACAGGCGGCAGCGCTAGACAAACCTATTACCCTAGAAGAATTGAAATTCGCTGTCCACAGCATGAAAAACGACAAATCCCCAGGGATCGATGGTCTTACCAAGGAATTATGGGAAACGTTCTAGCCCATAATGGGCAATGGCCTTCTTTAGTTCTATAAGGACAACTGGGAAAAAGGGGGGATGGGAGAATTTTTTAGTAGCGGTGTGGTGACCCTACTGTATAAGAAGGGGGACTGGGAGGACATTCGTAAACTATAGACCTATGTATCCCCGGTGGCCGCGGTCACCGCGGGCACGACCGCGGCCCCCGCAGTCATGACCGCGGCGGTCGCGGTCAAAAAAGGCGCGCCGCGGGCGCGGGGGAGGGGGTACTGGAAGTCGGGGTCGGGATTCCGGGGGCGCTAGCAAGGCCAGACACCCCCGCAAAGAAAAAAATGAAAAAAAGTTAAAAATGGGGGGGTCCAAATTGGGGTATGTTTAAGGGGGGGTTAAAAAATAAGGGACCCCCTTTTTTCAATTTTGCCGGCGCAGGCTTGGGTTACGGGGGGTCCCCTTCACG